TTGCCCTCAAGAATATCAGGGGCGACTTCCTCTTCTGGCAACGGGAGGTCTATGAGCACCTCAACAGGGCGCCGGAGAAGGGGAAGAACAAGGGCAAGGCACCTAAGGTGTGGCAGACTCAGTGGGAGAAGCCGAAGAAGGGGGGGAAAGGCGCCTGGCCCTCGGGGCCGACCCGGTCCAAGCCGAAGGGCAAGGGCGGCAAAGGGAAGTCCCCCAACTCCCCCTCGGTTCCATGGCCGGACCACTGGGCTTTCAAGAATCCCAAAGGGGTGGCGTACTGCAGAGATCATCACCTCCACAACAAGTGTTCGGGATCGTGCGGCCGTTCCCACAACTGCCCGGTCAGGAAGGATGGGTGGGTGTGTGATGCCCCCCCATCGAAGCATGCGCCACAGGCATGCCCTCACCTTCCCAAGTGACAGGAGGCCACCCAGGGTGCCATAGGCTCCGTGGCTTCCCGGTCTCAGTTGGGATCACAGGCCACCAGTGCGAGAGTGCACACAGAGGGGGAGAGCCAGCCCCACCAGAGCCACAGCGGAAGGCAGACAGAGCGGAGGAGGCCAGGACGGCCTCAGATGGGAGGGGACTTCTCCAGGGTGCCACCGCCCCCGGAAGCCCCTCCACCGAGAGCGGTCCCAGCCAGGGCACTCCAGAAGGGCGGAAGCATCCCTTTCCCCCGCACCCACCGAGGCAGTGGGAAGACCCCCCAGAGAGACCCAGAGGTGAGGATCCGCCCAGCAAGGGGCGTTCCAAGGGCGGGAAGAACCGCCAGGGCAAGCATCAAGGGGACAGATGACGGAGGGATCAGACAAAGGTCGCACGGAATCCCTAGGGGGGGCAAGCCCCACCTTCCCATGGATGCAGGACATCCCGGAAAGACTGAGGCTCAGACTGGGGTGGACGCCGAGGCCAGTGCCGGGGTCTTCAAAGCCGTCCCTCATCCTGCTGTACGCTGGGAAGGATGATGCGGGGGCCCTGGATGCCTACCTCCATGCCTACAACCCGGCCTTCTCGGAGTACATTTGGGCGGTGGATATCAGGAGAAAGGGTGGAGACCTGGGCCAGGACATGCTGGGCGAGGAGCCTTACTCGACGATGTGCTCCATGGCCATGGCGGGTAAGGTCGCATTGGTGGGAGGTGGCCCCAACTGCAGGACGTGGAGCATCCTCAGGTGGTTCCCCAAACCGGGTGGCCCGCCGCCGGTGAGGGGCAGAGCAGAGCAGACCTTGTGGGGCTTAGAGGACTTGGAGCCCCGGGTTAGGGAGGACACGGACAATGACAGCGTGCTCATGCTCCGACAGATGTACCTGACCTCGCTGGCCTACAAGGGGCTAGGTCAGCTAACGGTCCCGCAGGTTGGCTCCTCCTTCCTGGAGCACCCGATGGACCCGATGGAGTGCAGCAAGAGCCCGAGCGCAGCGAGGTGCTCATCGATCTGGGTCACGCGGGCCTACGTTCAATGGGCGAGTGCACTCCACCACTCCCTCATCAAGTTCGATGAGTGCCGCCTGGGCCAGGTGGTTGTGAAGTCCACGGCGTTGTCAACGGACCTTCCTCTCCACCATTGGCATGACCTGCGTTGCAACCACGGGTCTCACCCCAGGGGAGAAAAGCTCAACTCCAGTGACCTCAGCCGGTACCCGGAAATGATGCAGGGTCTCGCAGCGGCCATCCTTTGCCGAGCGGGACCCGTCCTGGAGGCGCTGAGGCCGGGAGGCATGGCGCCCCAGGCTAACCCAACGACCCCCCCGAGGCGTCCAAGGGAACCTTCTCCCAGCACGCCGGGGGACAACAAGCGCCAGTCCCGAAGGCTGAAGGCGGGCCAACAAGCGTTGGCAGGTCTGACCTTGGGCTCACTTCCGGTCTCGGCCTCGGATAATCCAGAGGCGGGGACATCGACACAGAGGACTGGCGAGGTGGATGAACTTGGGGGGGGAACTCTTCCCCTGGATCCATGGGCACACCAGGGCATGGAGATCTCGGATCGGCCCACCATCCTGCCGATCACGCACGACCCCAATATCTCCGACAAGGTCATGTACCTCCAGATGGCTTTCACGCAGCGTCCCTTAAGAGACGGTGGAGGAAAGCCCTCATTGGGACGGTTGGCCCCGTGGGCCCGACCGCTGTCCAAAGCAGCAGCGCTGGGGGCCAAGATCTGTGTCCTCACTTCGCCGTGGGGGGACAAGCTCCAGAATTCGCTCTCGTTGGGGGATGGGTCACATCCCTTCCCGGAGGACCTGCTGGAGGACATCAGGGAGAGCAGGCCGCAGCGGACGGCCAACCCTTCTTCCTGAACATCTTGCACAGCGTGGCGCTGAACATTCAGGACCCCGACCACCAGTTTCCCCGGGACCTGGAGCAAGGGGTCCCACTGGGGGTCACGGACCCACCCCTGACCTCGCCGGGCATCTGGCCACTCAAGAAGGAGCTGAAAGGGGAGGAGCCGGAGTTCCAGCAACTCCCCCACCCAACGGGCAGGGGCAACTACCCCTCGGCGGATCACTTCAGCGAGCTCATCCGGGGCACATTTCTGGAGGTCTGCATGGGCATGGTGGAGGGCCCCTTCAGTAAGGAGGAGGCATCGCGATGTGGCTGCGACATCGAGGACCTTTGTCCCGGCCCCCTAGCGGGCATCGACGAGGGGGACAAGATCCGCACGATCTACGATGGCTCGGTGGGAGGGGCCAATGACACCAGACGGTGGAAAGGACGACGGCTCCGACGGTGCTGGATGGGGTCCAAGCTCTCCATTGGCTACATGCGGCAGCTGCGGAGGGACCCCCCTCTCAGGGTGCCTCTGGCCCCGAGGGGGGGATCGTCAAACCTCCACCTGGGGGCTGGCTATGGCCGGAGCCGGGCACCAGGTGGGTGCTGCTCAAGGCGGACGTCACCAAGGCCCACCGGAGAGTGAAGGTCCTCAGGAAGGACTGGCGGTTCCAGGTGGCCCCACTGGGGGAAGAATGGTGGGTGAACAAGGTAGGCACATATGGCATGGCCAGTGCCCAATCCCACTGGGGACGCCTGGCAGCCCTTCTGCTCAGGGTCCTCTACGCACTTTTCCCTCAAGTGGATTGGAACTTCGTCTTCGTCGACGACTTCCTGTGGCTGCTTCGAAGCGAGGGGGCAGTGAACTTGGCGGTGGCGCTGCTGGCCACACTCCTGGCATTGGGCACCCCACTTAGCTGGAAGAAGACGCACTTGGCGGAGGTTAACACGTGGCTGGGCTTCGTGGTCCACCCGAACATCCCGCAGGTTCTCATGGCAGCCAACAAACACATCCTGGTCATGGAGGTTTTGCAGACCATGGTGGAAGGGCAGGCGATGCACTCAAAGGACATCGAGAAGGCCCTGGGCCGCATCCAATGGGCAACGGCTGCATGTCCGCTGGCGAAGTCGATGCTCCAGCCACTTTGGGCCTGGAAGATGGCCACCACCACGGTGGGGAAACCCCCCAAGGTGGTCAGGATGCTGGCGTTCATGCTGCGGTTCCTCTTCAACACGCCTTTCGTCCAGTACTCCCCCTACTTGCCGAAGTCCTCTTGGTGGGGTTGCAGCGACGCTAGCGCCTCGGACGACGGACTGGCATTTGTGGGAGGTTGGTGCTCCAACACAGTGGAACCGGACAAGAAGGAGGTGTACTGGTTCCATGAGCAGATCCACGTGGAGGAGTACCCTTGGGCTTTCAAGAATGGGGATCCAAAGCGGAGGATTGCAGCTCTGGAGATGCTGGGCACGCTCTTCCTCTGTAACATGATCCTCACGCACCAAGGCCCTCTGTCCTCCCGGGTCCGACTCCCGGTGGGCAGTGACAATCAGGGCAACGTCATGGCGATGCTCAACCTTGGATCCAAGAAGCCCTACACGGCGGCGATCCTGATGGAGCTGGTCTTCCTGCTCCACACCCATGGCTGCTCGCTGGCGGCCAACCATGTGCCCCGTGAATTCAATCAATGGGCTGATGAGCTGACGCACCCGGATTTCTCTGGGTTCGACCCTTTACAAAGGGTCCCCAAGCAGGAACTCTGTGAGGAGTTTGTTTTTCTCCCGCGTCTCCTGAATGGAGATGCATTTGATCTTCAGCGTGGGCCCACCCATGCTCCCGTGACCGGAGCCGGTGGGTGACTCACTTCCCCTGGTGGCAGACCCCCCTGTGGCCTGGGTGCCACGGGCCCCGGCTCAGGGGCGGGCGCTATCAGTCTGCACACCCGTTCTTCAGTTTTTGAGAATTGTGAGTTGGGTGGCCCATGGGGCCCACCCAGCGTTGGTCATCTGACAGGGGAAGATGAGTCCCTGGCACCAACACACTGCTCGGATGAAAGAGTTATCGCGTGCTCGTGTGTGGTGCCGTTTGGTTAGCTTGCATACACATATATATATATATGGCACCTCCCCCCATCCATGGATCCTGGTTTGATGAGTTTGAGCTGTGTTTTTCCACTGTCTAAATATCGTTATATATACCTCGGGCGCTTGCATTTAGTCTTGGCAAATGATAGACTCTGCCTCACAACTTGAGAAAGCGGGGCCTTGCAACCGATTCCTGTGATGCAAGTTCCATTCTTGGACAGGGCTCCTTAAAGATCTCCATTTTGCAACCATTTGAAACATGTTTTTTTCCAGCAAAATAAAGGGAAACCGCCATTTACAAGGCAATGTTCAGATGTATACTGTAAGGATCCCTGTTGGATGTCACTCATTTCAGGCTGAGCTTCCCTGATTGATCGGTGGGGCTTGGTGGTTCTGATGTTACGGGCTACCTTTGACCCATTTTGCGCAAAAGGTAGGCTTCAAATCCCACACCACCAATCCAAACCATGCTAAGGCCCTAGGGTTCATGAACCCCATGAAAAGAATGGTTGGCCCAATGTAGCTGATGACAATCCTGAACGGTCAACGTTACGTATGTTATATGAGCCCAACCATTGTTTCAATGGTGGCCTGCCTGAACCACAGGGAAGGGTTCGAGAGGTTGGTGCATCATCACGAGCCATCGCAGGTTTTCGCTGGCAGCTGCCTCTTGCCTGGGGAAGCCAACGAGGCTGGGGGGAGTCGACCAGGGGGATTTCTGGGCCACTTGCTCAATATCCGGGTCGGGTGGATGAAGGTTAGGGATCATCCCAACCGGATATCCACCCTGTTTATTGGGTGCATGGTTCTGGGTGGAGCATACCAGGGTTTGGAGTAACACCCCCTAATAACAGGGACAACCCATTTAGGGGGACTGAGAAGTGGGTTGTAGCCTAGGTTACCAACAACTTACTGTCTTGGCCGAACACGTTCCATGGTCCTTGCTAAGCTAGGTCACCCTGGCTACAACCCACCTGGGGGACTACGACCGTGTGGGTCAGTACCTTGGCTACTAACCACGCTAAGTCTCTTGATGAAGGTCTGTCCGTGAATAGCAAGATTTTCCAACCGGGTTGCCCGCTGAAAACCTGCGAAGTCGAAGCAGCCTGGGCGGCCAATGACGACCCGGGCAAATGACGTTGCGTCATTCGCTTGGGGCGGGGGGGCTCCTTGTGGAAAGGAGCACTTCCCTTTATTCCAAATGCCTGTTTATTCGTGCTGTCGACATCATCTAGGGATTTATATTCATCAACCATTTGAGAGTTCTCGGTTCACGGCGTATTTTGTTGAAAATCAGCTTTTCTGTGGTAGATACCTCCTGAAGTCATCGGTTTTCGTTTCTGCGCGCCAACATGTGGGCAGTGGGAGCAGGGTGCACGACAAAAACAACTGATAGTGGCAGCAGCCTTGGCAGTGGAGAACCAGGTGATGGGGACGTTGTGGGGGGGCGGGGGGGGGGGGGGCGGGGCAGGTTTTGGATAAGCTTAGGGTTTTCCCTATTGCGGTTGTTAGCCCGACCTGACCCTTTTTTGTGCGGGTTAGCTGTGGATCTCGTGAAGAAGTATTGCGTCAATGCGCGTCTCACAAAATGCGGATTCCAGACATGTTCCCGCGGTTGGTTCTTTTCTAGGACTCTTCCTCAGTGGTTCAGTGGCTCCCTTTTTCCCCTTTCTTTTAGGTGGCTGCCCCACTAATTAAAATGGACTACCCAAAAAAGGGTTCCCTTTCTTTTGAGGGGTGACTGAACAATTGAGCTTCTTGTACTCTTATATGCCACAGGGGTGGGATGTCAGACTGACTTCCCGCATTCGTCTTGGGTGCTTCTAGGACCCAAGACCATGGGTTGTCCTTTCCTTTTGGTTTCCCCTTTAAAGCCACCAACAAGCAAGCAGACAACTCCCAAGAGGACGAGCCACGCATGTGACAAACGAACGCTTTTTGAGGTGGACTTGGGTGTTCGATTTGCACAGTTAGTAAGTTGTTGGCAGCCCAGGTTTTATCCCACTTATAAGTATACCTTGTTATAAGGGGGGGAGCAACCCCAAGTGACTCACCACTCATCTGGGCGAATCAAACATCAATGTTCTCTTTTATGGTGTCTCTCTAGGAGTGGTTTCCCCATTCTTTCCAGGGATCCTTCTTTCTAGAAACCCACCAAAACCCTGGGGAAACAGCTGGTTGTTGAAAAGAACAATGGCTGAAAAGAATGGAACGGAATCAGCCCCTTAGTGCATTTTGCTTGGATGCTAGGACTTTAACTTTTGCCAACTAATGGGTTTTCCATTCAACTACTAAAAGTTATTCACTCTTAGCAGGGGAGCAGAAAGCAACCAAGAACCCCTCAGTCTCAATCGGATCCACTTTCGCGCGAACCGCTTGAGGTCACCATCGGCTTTGTAGCTCCCGAGGTGTTCCAGGCGTCTCGGGACCGGTCTGCCCGAGTCTGCCCTTTTGACTCGGAAGCTAGGATCACTTTTGGTGGAAACCATAGAAAAGCCAACCCCCAGGGTCCGAAGTGAGAAACACACATGGGTCTATCTGTTTCTTGAGGGGACCCATTTTTTTCTTTCTCGTGGGTTTTAAAGGAGAACCAAAAGGAACACCATATCTGTTTTTCTTTTGGGGGGGGGGCCAAAAAAAGAGACACCCAAACATACGTCTTGGTATAAGTACTCACTTGCCTAAAGCGAACTGACCTGAACTGACCTTTTGGTTTTGGTTTTTTTGGGCAGCCAATTACAGCGCCCCCCTAAAAATGATCTGGTCCACTGGGTTTGAGAAAGGGTTTCGGAGAGACCTGTTGGAAACGAATGGGTTCAAACCAACAAATGGTCTAAGGACCTTGCGCTCAAGGGAGCTTGGAGCAAGCCTATGTTCTAGGCCACCCCAAGTAGGTAGAAGGGAAACGCATGCGCAGGCACAGACAAAAACTCGTGACGCGACCTCAATTGG